TGTAGGTGAAAACAAATCTAAAAACAACTGGAAGCAAGTGTGGGAAGTCAAAGACTGGGGTGATATGATAGAATCCATTTGATTTAGTAAGAAGTGTGACTGATACATTCTGATGGTGTGGAATTATTGATCTGTTCAAACTTAGAAAAATCTTTTTATTGCATTGCATTGCAAGGTATTGCAGTAATCTGAATGGAAGGACAAAAAAGCATAATCCTCTCGAGATTTGCACAGAAAACCATGGCGGATATGTTTGTGAGATGCTTTTTAAATGAAAGCAAATATTGTGAGAAATATGCATCTCTAATGTACCTGCAGGATCTTTACAGCAGATTTGGTTGCACAGAAAATATAATAATGATTTTAGTGTTAGGGCTGCTCACTGCTGCCTTGCAGTAAGAAGGTTCTGGGTTCGATTTCCGGCCCCGGGTCTTTCTGCATGGAGTTTGCATGTTCTCCCTGTGCATACGTGGGTTCTCTCCAGGTACTCCAGCTTCCTCCCACAGTCCAAAAGCATGACTGTTAGGTTAATTGGCTTCTCTAAATTGTCCTTAAGTGTGAGTGTGTGCGTAAATGGTTGTTTGTCTTGTTTGTCTCTATGTTGCCCTGCGATAGACTGGCAACCTGGCCAGGGTGTACCCTGTCTCTTACCCATAGACAGCTGGAGATAGGCACCAGCACCCCTCTCGACCCCGCTTGGGATTAAGCGTGGAAAGAAAATGAATGGTTGGATTTTAGAGTTCATTTTTGCTTTTGTAGCCAGGATCAATTATCAATGACTCTGTCTTATCCATGCTTAATGCCAGAAAATTACATGCACACCAGTTACTGACCTAAGATACACATTATATTTAATATGAGGTGTTTTAAAATATGACCTGCCCCACATAAAAAATTCAGTTTTTGGTGAAAAACCAGGTATTAGCATCATTCCTTCCCAACTGTAACTCCATAGAGCCGATGAGTTGATAGATGGATCTAAATATGGGTTAATGATTGGAGAAACTTTCTGAAAGATGACAAAAGACTTGAAATTGTGCTAAATATTGACCTTCCTGCAGGACAAC